ACCCCTGAGAGAACGTGCTCTTCATGGCACGTCCGCTCCAAATTTGAAGCTTCGAGTAAACCCTCAAGTAGATGCGACAGCGCTGGTCCAATATGTCGACCAGTTAAAGCTCGTGTTATACGCGCTCTATCGCGGTCTTGTTTCACAAAACTACAAGACTTGTAATATTAGACCACAACTCGCGGAAGTGCTATGCTTATTTCCACGACACCGACTCGATCTCTACTTCGATCGCGCAGAATCTATCATCAGAGAGTTGATATAGCTTCATATATAGGGTGTTTGAAAGCTTATCATACAGACGAAAGTTGGAGATAGATTGGGTGTAGCCGAGAAGAAAAGTCATGTACATAATGTCAAATTGGCAATAGTTATCGAGTTATTAATTGAAATTGATGTGAGCCAATGAGCGCGTAGAGAGCGCTGGGCGGCCGCCTCTTGTCGCTTGCGCTCGCTCGCTCGTCGTTCGCGCTCGCTCGCTCCTCGTCGTGTGCGCTCATAGACATATAATATATAGACCGCGCATTCGCAACGTTTCCTTTGTCTGCACATGTTCAATATTAGAAAGAGATAGCATGCTTTCGTAGAGCAGTCTTTTAGAGCTGTCTTTTTCTAACGATGCGTGGTGGGGTATTTGGCCCCTCCGCTTGTTTAAAGTGGAATGTTATGTCTCCAGTTCTCCTTCTTTTCGTGAAACAAAGCGTATGTAAACAAGACGATTGACATTAAAAATTATAAAACGTATTTATTCATAATAGTATAACCATAACACAATGAGTCTATATTGTTGTGTATGCCGCAGTAATGCATATAAAAGTGACAAACAGATTATTTCCCACCGGTATGTAATTATATCCATCGTCATATGTCCATATTCATCAGTTTTCCATACAAAATCGTCATTTTTCCATATGCGTGTATTTATATCAGACGTATTTTCTTCTCTTTGCTTTTCACAATTTCCCTTTCTCTATATTCTCCTACTTCTGTTTCCCCTGTCACGGAAGACTGCTTTACCCCCACCACGCATCGTTAGAAAGCGATAGATTGCTCAACGAAAGCATGTTGTCTCTTTCGAATATAGAACGTCCCCTCCGCTGAATGCGCGGTTTATTTATTATACGTCTATGCGTGCGCTCGCCTCTTGTCACATAGGGAAAGAGCACAGGCTTTTGCATAACGCATAATACATAACGCATAAGAGAATAAACCAATTAGTTTTCTTCATTTCCCTCCTCAGGATAGAAATGAAGAACTCTGATTGGTTGATTCTCTTATGCGTTATGCAGAAGTCTGTGCTCTGGCCCTTTACGGTTGCCCCTCGCCGCGCGCACTCGCCTATCTACGTTCGTTGACTTCGCCTATACCAAATGTCTACGTGCATATCGCGGCTGCCCAGCGCTCTCTACGCGCTCATTGGCTCACATGTTTCAATTAATAACTCGATAACTATTGCCAATTTGACATTATGGTATATGACTTTTCTTCTCGGCTACACCCAATCTATCTCCAACTTTCGTCTGTATGATAAGCTTTCAAACACCCTGTACATATATATATATATATATATATATATACATATATATACGTGTATATGTATATAATATCGTAATTGTATTTATATTTTTATATAATTATAACATGTTCATAAATTTTATAATAATATAACTTTCTTCAATAGAGATATGTCGGCGGCAAATCATAGTGGAAGTCAAGAAGCTTACGACACCGCTTCGATTGTTATCTTCAGTGATTAGCCAATACTAAAAGTTTCGTAGCTTCATGAAGTAAGACCCGTATTGTACCTCGCGAAGAAAAGTAAACTTTGGAGAAAAGGAAAGATTTCACATTCACATCGTAACAGTGGATGATATGGATTTAGATAAATGTGAATGTGAATGATGTGGATGATGTGGATATGGATGTTGATGTAGATGATGTAGATGTGGATGTGCATGTGCATGTGCATGTGGATGTGGATGTGGATGATGTGGATGTGGATGTAGATACGGTGGATGTGGATGTGCATGTGGATGTGGATGAGGATGTGGCTGTGGATGATGTGGATCCCCTGGTGGACGCCACCTTGTTGCCACCTGTGATGGCTTAAGAGTCCCGTTGAAGTGCAGAGCTATGCCGGCGGGAGCTACAGCTCCTGGCAGGTCTTACTTTGCCGGATTGGTCTGTACGGCGGAACTTAACTAAATGCGTCCCCTCCGGGATGGGCAGCTGCCTCCCGGAGCTTAGGGGAAGGAAAACCCCGAAGATAAATCTGTGATAGTCGTTCTCGTAAAACCGACATCGTAGCAGAGATGCGAACTTCGAAAGAAACTGCTGAGCCGGATGTCGGAACCGGATAACGGCGTGTTGACGGGGATATTATCCCGGTCCCCCTCCCCCCACGTCGGCATCATGCAACGGGCCAAAGGACAAGTCTATGGCGGGCTCGTCCTTCGAAGAGATTACCGTCGTTGAGGTGAGTGCCAGTATGGATCGTTGGTTGTTTGCCCCGGAATTAGTGGAGAAGATACGGAAGGAAAACCGGCATATGATAAGGACGAGGAACAGTCTCTTGACGTACTGGTTGGATTGGGTGGAGGAAAGGGCGGATTATTATAATATTACCCCACTCCAACTCATCAACGCGGTTGGGGATTACACGGATTCAGAGAAGGAGTGCTCGGGTGCTCGGGCAGACCACTCCGACTATGAGTCCCGAGGGATTCCCTATTTTTCTTCGGACATGAATGATGAGATGTTCGCCAGAGTGAAGAGGAATAGGAAGAGAAGAAAGAGCAGATTGGAAAAGGAGTCGCTGAATAAGAAAGGGAAGGAGTCTTCTATAAAGACAGAGCTTCGTCGAAGAAGCGGATAAAGGGACCTTTCTTGGATAATTTGGTGGCAAACCCTCCGGTGTTGGTGGAGAGGATGCGTTTTGGCTCCGGATGAGGAGGAAAAGAAGCCGGAGGGCTTGGCAATGGCATCCTGTTCAGGGCTCATGTGAAAGTGGAACACAACATGTTATGTCTTCCTTGCTTGCGACGCGCGGTATCCATTTCGACCTGCAGAACGGAGGCTGTTTGGCTGTTGGCATGGTTGCGGCTGCGGAATGTGCTATTGGATCCGAAAATCCGGAATTGGGGAGAACGGAGACGGATACGGTAGAGAAGTTGTCTCACTCAGCTGACGTGGTTAGCCTGTTTGAAATTAAGTTGGTAAATTGGAAGTCTCGGATGAGGGAGAAGTTCGAGGAATTAGAATTCTTCGGATCCATGTGAAAGTTTGGGAAATCCATGTGAAAGTTTGGGAAATCTTAAAGGTTGTGAGCTTCCTGGTGGATGCCCTGGTGGAGACACGTGTGAATTCTGTGAGGAGGTGCGAGGAAGATACGGAGGCGGAGAAGGGAAGGGTGAACGTTGTGGCGGCGACGGTGATAGGATTCTCTGACACGGAAGTCGGAACGACCAAAGAGATCAATTGCTATCACTGCGATGGAAGGAAAAGAGTAACGATGGTCGAGGTGGGAGTACAGGCCTCTGCTGGTTCGGACTGTGTGGTTACTACTATGGAGAGTTATACGGATGAGGACAATGGGAGGAGCGTGTCCAAGGAAAAGTGTTCGTTTATGAATGTGGAGGAATCCCCAGGCCTGAAGAAAGTCTACGAGGACTGTTCGGTTGCGAAGAATGGGATGAAGAAGACGATAGAGTTTCGAGGTTGAGAGGAACGAAGCGGAAGGTACGAGGAAGCCCTTAACCCAGGATTGGAGGTTGGGAATAGTTCCATGGAACGCAGAAGAGGAAGTGAGGTCTGGATCGAGGAGGAGGAAAAGAAAAAGAAGGAGGAGTAGATGGAGGAAGGAAAGGGGAACCGGACGGATGGATCCTTGGAATTTTGCTCGTCGGCTAGCATTAATCTTTTGGACCTTTAGGGATAGTTGGTCCAGGTGTGCTTGTCCGCGGCTTGTCTGCTGGACAGGTTATGCCTGTTTGACTAATTAGGGCGTGGGGGGATGGGGTACGTAGACCCTATTTGGGAGGGCCTTGATATGTGAGCCACGGGCGACAGGGAGGCTTGGACGTTATGACGTCGACTTCGGTACTAGTTGCTTTCCCGAATTCCTTTGTCATTAGTCACGTGGTAGGCCGGGGGAGGTTTTAGTGGGTGCAAGCCCCACACTATTTTGCAGTTCTATGTGGCTGCAAAGTATGCGTCACGCATTTCCTCCTCTATAACAAAAAAAATTTGGATGTGGATGATGTGGATGATGCAAATGTGGATGATGTGAATGTGAATTATGAGGATGTGAATGACGGAGATGTGAATGATACAGATGTAGATGATATGGATGTGGATCATCCAACTGCTACAAGACGTTGGAGAAATAAGAGACTTAACATTTAAATCGTGATCGCTCAGGACTATCTGTGCGTAGCTTCGAGTGAAATTCACTGACACCGAAAGATGAGACTTTGCCAAGCTTGACATTGCCTCCTCTTGTCCTCTCCAAGGTATGATATATAACAGCGACTCGATCACCGACGATTGCAGGATGTGCTAGAATTCCTCTGCGCATAATTGGATGTCGCAGACGCTAACGATACTAACGCGAGTCAACGATGAACATTGTGACGCGACGATTATTAGTTATTTAACGTGAATGTAATAGCGCCAAGCGTGGAACCTGAATGTTCACCGCGCTCGAGGTATGATATTGCTAGAGTTCCTGTAATAAGAGTTACGACATCGTGACGATGATTTCTGATTTTGATGCCCTATTGCATATGGCAAATCATATTTAATTACACTAGTGTACACCAGTGCAAAAAGTTCTTTTAAAAGAACAGATCCGTTGTGACAGTATGTATATAATTTGATATATATGATATATAATTATATATATAATTTATTAATAAATATACCTATATATATATATTAATTAATATTATATTATATATATAATATAATTAATTAATATATATATAGGTATGTAAAGCACAATGGATCCAACCTATCTTACACATAAAATTTGTGCTGCCAACATTACTAGCCCTATAAATGGCGGCGGACTGTCGCAAATCTTATTATAGGAACTCTAGATATATTGCGAAGCCTACCTATTATCACGTAAACGCCGCGTATTAGCCGCGAAGTCGGGTAAGAATAAAGGAAGAAAGAAAGAAAGGAAGAGAAGAGGAAACAAACACGATCCCTCTACGTGTCTTTAAAGGAACGGGCGTAAATCGTATTCATTCTCAAAATTGTCAAGTACGTCTGACGCACTTACAATCGTAACGTGTGAGACAATTTAAGGCTCGGAATTACGCTCTCTTTCTCTGCCGGTGAAACTTTCTTAAGTGCTACGCTACAATTACGAGAACCAAGAAACGTACTAAAGTTAAACGATTTTCTCGGTATGTGAGATCACGCTTGGTTTACTTTCATACGTGCAAGAGGATATGTATTCATTTGACGCGAGTGGTCGCGGTCGCATCCTGCGGATTCGTCGTCGCCGCGATAGCATCGTAAATTATCGATTACCGGCTCAATCTGGGCTCTTTCATCGCGAACGGATGTTCTCAGGACGATAGCTCCCCTATCGCTTTATCTTCGCAGGATTTACATTTCTCTCTTCTCTCTCTCTCTCTCTCTCTCTCTCTCTCTCTCTCTCTTTCTCTCTTTCCTCTTTTTAGAATCCTCTTCTCAATTAACAATCCACCGTCGCAGCGCAGTAACGGAGAGAGACCTACAAGAAGCACCTTTACTTCCCTCTGGACGAAATTATCCTCCATGACAGGATACTCATTCCAGTTCCCGAAAGTAAATCGAAAAAGAAGGCCGAAGAAGTCACGGAAATACGATGCTCGCGGGATAAGAAGGGAGGGAAGAGGGAGCGAGAAGGGTGGATAACGAAGCGGAACTCGCTGTAACACGATGCGTCCTCCTTCTTCGCGCCGCAACAAAGACTTGACTGGATTATGAGAAGTTGGAGTCTCGCGAAGACTGGTATGGCGCCAGGAGAATCGATAAGCCGTACGACACAGCAAGTGCGCGATAGAAAGCGGCACCGAGACCGTCTCTTCGCCATCGGCTTGACGCGGAACATCTAATAGTAAGGGGTAGATAGAGAGGACAGTCATGACTGTAGAAGAACCGGCCTGGAAGAGCGCTCATCGGAACAAGTTGGCCACGAGCAGGTAGGCGAACAACAGCAAAGTTGACAGGCAGGAGACACCGACGACGCCCGAGCCGAGGTTGTCCTGCATGACGTTGTCGTGGCATCGGGCAACCAGGTCGAAGTCGACCACGTTCATGGGCTTGCCGTTGTACTCGAACGGCGAGATGCAGTAGTTACGGCGCTGGAACTCGACGCTGTTGCCGCGCACGAAGTCGCTCTCAAGGACGTTGTGGGCCTGGCAGTCGCACGGGAAGTGATTGTCGATCGCGCTCAACGTGTCCACCTCCAGGAGGATATCCCGGGCGTGCCGCGGCGCCTCTAGCACGTGGTTGCCGTGGAAGCGCAACAGCTCGATGTAGTTATCACGGCGCAGGTACAGGCGTTCGATCAGGTCGACCTTGTTGTTCAGTATGTTGAGCCGATCCACGTGGGTGAGGCCGGCGAACGCGTCCTTCTGCACGACCCCGAGGTCACTCTCCTGGATGTTGAGTGAGTACACGTGCGAGAGGCCGCGGAATGTGTACGCCCGCAGGCTGGACAGATCCATGTAGGTGAGTTTGAGCAGGCCGACGTGCTGAAGACCGTCGAACGCGTCCTGCTGGATCATGCGGATACCGGATGGAAAGATGAGCCGGACGACATTGGTGAGACCGGCGAAAGCGTGGCTGTGGACGGTCAGCAGCGGATTGTTGGTTAGCAGGATCACCTGCACGTTGGACGTGCCGGCGAACGAGTAGCCCTCGACGTAGCGAATTTTGTTGTTCGCCAACAGCAACACCGAGATGTTCTGCAAAGCGGCGAAGGAGAATTTCTCGATGCAGGGCAGCGGGGTGTGCTGGATCGAGAGCTCGCGCAGCCTGTTTAAGCCGCGAAACGCGAACGGTCGTATGGAGGTGATGTTGTTGCCGTCCAACGTGAGCTTGCGCAAGATCCGCAGGCCAGCGAACGCGTCGCCCTTGATAACCGGGAAGTTATTCTTCGTCAGCGACAGCTCCTCCACGGTCTCCGGCAGCTGATGCGTCGGGATATCTTCGAGGCCGCCTGTATTGCAGAGCACCTGGAAAGACGGGCGTCACGCTTGAGAGTTTGCGAGAGTAAGTCCGCCAGAACATAAGTGTCATGCGTATAACGCTTGCCTGAGTAGAAAAATTAATAGAGCTCTGGTAAGGACTTGATTATTTTTCCCTAACATTAATCGGACCCTAGTGCGGATAGAAAGACAAGGGTCCTAGAAGATATGTAACAAATGTTTAACGGATCCTTATAAGGTCCAATATTATGAGGGTCCTACAAGGCAATATTAACAGAGCCTCATAAGGCAATATTAATAAGGCCTTATAAGGAAATATTTTTACTATTGCTTGAGTAAAAATCGTTCCTTTCATTCTAAGAAATTTGGACTGTAATTTCTTTATTTCTTTATAACCTTGTTACGAGTATACTTTGCTCGTAGTATACAACTTTCTATTTTAAAAATATAACATACTTTACAATAAAATGCAACATTCGACATAACGTTAGACATAAAAATTTTGCTATTGTTTTTATTAAAGTTTGTTGCATTTCAAAACGAAGGCAACGCTAGAAAAATCTTTAGAAGAGACTAATAAATGTGGCAATTGATAAAACTAAAAAAATTTGCTTTTAATTGCGATAATTAAAAAATCTTTAAAAGAATCAGATAGAGCGTACCTACTAAAACATTATTAAACTATGATAATTTTATTACACGCTTCAGATTTTACTAATTGTCTATAACAAAACTTGATTTTGTATATTTAAAGATCCTTAAAGCAGCCGTAAGCTTCCCGGCTGATGGAGTCGTTTTTATTTTCTTCGGAGCTACTTCACCGCATGTTGTCCACTTTCCCGACCCTATCTTTGCTTTCCAGTGTGACTCGTGTTTCATCGATAGTCACGAAACGACGCAGAAAATCCGCAGAAAAATTCATAACGCATCCTTAAAAGATCCTTCTAAGGCCCTCATCTATTTCCCTTATCAAAGCCTTATTTATTAGATTTAAGACATCCCTAAAAAATCCTTCTAAGGTTCATCAATTTCCTCGTCAGTTTTTCTTATTGAAGCTTCATTTTGTAAAATCTAAGGCACCCCTAAAAAATCCATCTCAAGACCCGATGTGGCAATAATGAGGCATCCCTTTTTAAGGCTTTCAGCCTTATGCTTCATAAGGATGGCCCTAACGAATTTTTGCTCGAGTGTATGTGTGTTTATATGTATTTAAAAAATCCGTCGTCAATTATTAACGCGTATGTACAGCGTATTGCATTAACGTGCAGCTAAACAGTCGGTGAAAAGTGTTCCATGGGAATCTCAAGAGACAGTAGCCGTAAGCTTCCCGGCTGATGGAGTCGTTTTTATCTTCTTCGGAGCTACTTCGCCGTATGCTGTTCATTTTTCCGATCCCATCTTTGCTTTCCAGTGTGACTCGTGTTTCATCGATAGTCACGAAACGACGCAGAAAATCTTTCGTATCGCGCCTAAATATGTCGGGATATCGCTGAGAGGTGGTCATTCGAACTTGCTTTTGCTCGGTCGGCAGCAAACGCGACACCCATCGGACAGTGAGTTTCTCGTGTCCAGCAAACACCAAGCGACAGTTACGTAACTCTTAGTTGTAATTCCCCTCTCAACGATGTAACTTTTACACATAACACACATGTTATATCGCATTTATGTTGTTAATTTATGAGTTAATTAACATTTATCCTAGACGTGCAAGGCGTCCTCAGAAGATATCTGGGGGATACTTCCGGAATATGGAAATGTCCTGAAAGTATGCCGGGATATCCTGGAAAATCGTGCAATATTCAGAATATATTTATTAGTTGTTATTTTGAATATTTTAAACGAGAACTTCATGTGTACATTTTTTATTTCATTAATTATAGTGCAACATTAGAAGTAATTTCAGAATGTTAAGTACTAATACAATGTAACAAAATATAAATCTCCCATAAATATTTACTGCGTATTTGCTAGTTTCAAATAGCAGCTCAGACAGCACAATCTTCTAAAAGAAACAGAAGATGTCTCAAGGATAAACGGTGGAAATATAAGCTATTGATTTTGCCGATTCCGAGCTTGTGTCAAGATATATATGTTCTCTTTTTTTCCCCGTCTAAATTATAAATATAAAGAGAAAAAAACTGTATTCGATCCGATCCTGAATCAGATTTAGTAAATTGATTATATTAATAGTTCGATTTTTCTTTTAGAATCAAAAGATTTTAGAATTCCAAGAGAAAACAATTTAACGATTCAAAAATCTTCTGTTTCTAAAAATAAAATTGAGCTATTAATATATTCCATTTGTTAATTCGAATTTAGAATCGAGTCAATTGCTTTTTCTTACATTTATAATTGAAACAAGAAAGACGCAACTCGCCACAATTCGGAGTCAATAAATAAAAAAATATACACTATATTTTTTCTTTTTCTTTAGACCTAAAAAATATCCATAACATATTCCGCAGAAGTTCTGTTGTCCGACAGGATATATCCTCTGGATGTAAAGATTAGTATTCAGCTATTATTTTTTTCCTCAGGATATCTAAAGTACATCCCGGGATAAAATTTGGATATACACAGAATATCCGCAATGTTTGTCGTGGATGTCCTTGAGATTTCCGGAGGATGTCATTGTGTTATCTGGGTATGTTACTGCTACTTGGTGTTTGCTGGAAAAGTTGATGCAAAATACAGTGCCTATAGTACCAAGTCTGTAAATATGAAACCGGAATTTCTCCATAGATGGCCCTAGCTGTCAATGTAGTTACCGTCAAACCGCGTCATTGGCGCCATTTCCATTTGTTGACATCTGACAAAGATTTTCAACTCACAACAATACAAGTTTCATATAACAGCATAGTTTGTAATAGCGTTGAACATGTCGAATTTTGTGCCTGGAAGCTACGATTTACGGACGGCATTGATTTTCTGTTACCATTTGAAGAAAACTGCTGCAGAATCGCATCGAATGCTTGCTGAAGCTTACGGTGAGCATGCTCTTGGTAAATCACAGTGCTTTGAGTGGTTTAAAAAATTCAAACGTGGCGATTTTGACATGAGAAACGAAGAACGTGGAAGACTACCGAAAAAGTTTGAAGACAGCGAATTGCAAGCATTGTTGAATGAGGATAACGCTCAAACGCAACAACAACTCGCGGATCAATTAAATGTGATACGAGAAGGCATCTCCATACGTTTGAAAGCCATGGGAAAGATCCAGAAGATGGGAAAATAGGTTCCACATGAACTGAATGAAAGACAGCAGGAAAACCGAAAAACCACTTGCGAAATGCTGCTCGCCAGGTACAAAAGAAAGTCATTTCTCCATCGAATTGTGACTGGCGATGAAAAGTGGATATATTTTGAGAATCCTAAGTGTAAAAGATCATGGGTAACTCCAGGCGAACCATCGACATCGACTGCAAGGCCAAATCGTTATGGACGGAAGACAATGCTCTGTGTCTGGTGGGATCAGAAGGGTGTGATCTATTATGAGCTACTAAAACCTGGCGAAACCGTTAATACTGAACGCTACCGACAACAAATGATCGATTTGAATCAAGCTTTGCGTGAAAAACGACCAGAATATCAAAAAAGGCAACACAAAGTGATTTTGCTTCATGATAATGCACCATCACACACAGCAAAACTGGTGAAGGAAACGATTGAGGCGTTTAGTTGGGAAATACTTTCGCATGCGGCTTACTCAACAGATTTGGCTCCGTTCGATTACTACTTATTTGCATCGATGGGACACGCACTTGCTGAGCAGCGCTTCACTTCTTAGGAAAATGTACGAAAATGGCTCGATGACTGGTTTGCCTCAAAAGAGCAACAGTTTTTTTGGCGTGGCATCCACAAATTGTCAGACAGGTGGGAAAAATGTATAGCTAGCGATGGGCAATACTTCGAATAAAATATTTTTTATCATTTTCATACAGTAAAAGTGTATTTTCTATACAAAAATTCCGGTTTCATATTTACATACCTGGTAAACTATATTGCTAAGTTTCAACGAAATCGGTGAGGAGTATTCTCTCTTTTATAATTATCAAAGTTTTTAATAATTATCATATTTTGTATACATAATTGTTGTATAATTCAATATATGTGTGATATATATAAAATAGTAAAATATTATTCTTTTATATATTAATAATTATTTTTTTAAAACTTTTATTTACGGTTCTTGTGTGAGTGTAATAATAATCATACTCAGTAAAATAAAATAAAAAATATATGTTATGAATGTTGCAGATATGTAAAAATATGACAAACATGCAATGGAGACTCTAAAATGTTCAATATGTCACATAACTATAAATAACGGGTTATATGGTTTATCAAAGCATTTCTCCACAATATATGGTTTAACAGTCAAACGAGGAATAACAAAAGGTGGATTAGAATGTGGTCAAAACGGATGCTATCGAAAATTTTTTTCATTACTCTGCTTATGAGATCATATAAAAAAGTTCATTTTTCAGAAAAGAATAATTCTGATTCTTCTGTAGAAAATGTAGAATCTGTTTTCTTGCATAATGATATAATTACCAATGAAAGTGATGCAAACAGTTTCTCTGATAATCCAGATAATGTCGAGGTTTTAAAAGTTTGTGACAATTTTAATTTAAGAGATTCTTTGATAAGAATGATAATCAGACTGCACTCAAAAGTATCAATGACTGGAAGCACTATTTGTGATATTCTTGATGAGTATGAAGAAATAACAAATAATTTATGTGCATCATTAAAGACAAAAGTTAAACAATTTTTACAATCTAGAGAAATGCTTAATTATCCTGAAGTGAGTAATTTATTAAATGCTTTTGAAATAAATACATCTTTTGTAGATTTAAGGACAGTTAAACAACAAATGAAAGCTTTTTACGAAATAATACAGAATATATTGAGCCTTGGAAAATACCTTTGGGTAAACGCATAGAATACAAAATTAATAAGACAACTGATACTTCTGTACCAAAAACAGTTCTTGACACTTGTCAATATATCCCTGTAATTGATTC